GAAGTGTGCTGCTGGTTAACCTCTTGATCCCAATTAGAACATTGTGGTTAACCGCAGACACTTCTCAATTAAAACCGAATGCAGGGTGGTCGTCGTTCGTATGGCGAGCACGAGGCGGCGGCCATTTTAAACCATGCGAAAGACCAGCGGTGCTCGGCATTGATTTCATGGAACTGAAAACGGACACTTTTTCTGCCGAACACCGCTGAAGCCGCCGACCTCCCTTCTCAATCGACAGAAGGATGCGAACACCGGCCGTTCGGGAGGTTTAAACACACGAATGGACTTACCCCAGATAGCCTTCCCATGGAGTCAATCGCATACCGAAAGACTGTAATAGACTTTGACTCCATGGCGATGGAACTATGCGTATGGGATCTGAGCGCTATTCGCCAATAATATGCACTCAGATCCAGGCTATCTGGGGATACGTGATACGAATGGGTAGCATTCGACAAATGCAAAGTTATATATTTTTATATGTTTTTCCGTGTTGAATTTAAAATGGTGATTTGCCTCTGTCCTGGAGATAATTGAATTACTTTTCAATTATCTCCAGGGCAGAGGGAAGGGAATACTAATGCATTGTGGGAATGTTCTGTGTCTGTGGGTCCTGACCTTCCATATGTCTGTCTATTGTTACAGTCTCCCATTTGGTCCCCTAGGGGAGTGTCCACCAAGTGGGAGACCTGCATAAATACGGGCAGGTAGCCCACAGTAAAGCCAGTTCTTGTTTTACCCTCAATGCGGAGCTTGGTCTCGTTATTGGGGGGGGATTTATTACCGACGACTAGAGACTGCTGGATGGAATTATTAGCCGCTTGGGAGATATATGCGTTCGGCTACTATTGGCAATTCGTGAGTTTGGAGCTCGTGGAGTGAAGTGCCCGTACAGATCCCGTTCGTGAGTTTACAATGTTCCCCGGCTTGCGGTTCGCATGATTGTACCTGATACGCATGCAGCCTATGTTATTGCGAGAGGGGAGCATTCACTAAACGGCGGTTTGTACATTTAATGCTGAGGGTACCGTAACAGTTATCTATCCTGGAGAATGTGTTGTACGGAGCGGGGTAAAAAGTATAGTCCTTTGTGTCAGGGTGTTGGAGTCTCCAAGCGTCCAAATGTCCCGTATGTGCTAAAAAGGTGTGCATGAGCTTTTCCTGCCCCCTCTCCCCTGTGATCTACAAGTCCCTGGTTTGGCACTTCAGTCTAGGGTCGGGCAGGGCATGGTGTTGTAAACGCCCCCAACCACCACCACCACCAGTAAGCTGGTGACCAGAGCCTCCTGTGTTTCCCAGAAAGAGACATCGGGGTCGTTCGGGGCGTAGACATTGACTATATGAACCTTTACGTTGTATATGGTGCCCGTAAGGCCCAGATATCTGCCCTCTGTTGCAATGAATGGGCAGCTTTTATGACTCAGTATGGCCACCCCTGCCCTCTTTCTGAGAGCCCTCGCCTCACGTGTTTGTGTGTAGAACCGGTCTCCCAGTCTGACTGGTGCCGTCTTAGGGAGGTGTGTCTCCTGGATTAAAGCGATGTCTGCTTTCTTGGCTTTTATGTCATGCAGAAGGAGTCTGCGTTTATTAGGAGTATTTAAATCTCGAGCATTAATGGATACAAATTTTAGGGCCATATGAGTGTAGTGAATAGAGAGCGACGGGCCGCCCAGTCCCATATTGAATAGTCATCCCTCCCACTCTTGTTCAGGTCGTGACTTCCCTCCCGTGCAGACGAATTATGTTGTCACTCATAGGGTACCAAAAGTGTACTTGTACATTAACAGTAACGTGGTCATAAACTGAACATAAAAAACATCTTGTCTTATGATCTGCCAGAGTGGGTTGGGGGTGTAAGCCCCCAGCGGAGTGAACAAATGTCTCCTGAGCAGGGATTGGCACTCCTTCAATCCACCGTGCCACCTTGTGTGTGACTCCATAGCGGAATGCTTAAACCCATGATAGCCAGTGGTCCTGGTCTGTTAGGTGTGTGACCTATTGTAGCTAGTGTGTCCCGTCCTGTCAGGAGGACGGCTTTCGGTATGCTTGGGTGGGTGAGGCGTAGGTTCCTCCCTTGCATGGCCCTTGTTCTGGTCGGGGACCCGTTTCTCCCCCCGGGCGTCATTTGCCCTTTGCCTTGTGGGGCTCCACAGAGCAATGGTGAAGGGGTGCCAGTGTGTTCGGGTCTGCAAGTTTAGGGTGTCCTGCAGATTCTTAGGGGACCTGCAGCTGTGGCTAACTCGTAGTGCTTTTAGGGCTGTCGCTATTGGAAGGGCATCTACCATATGCAGGGGTAGCTCTGGTTGGTTGGGACATCATGCACAACAAAGGTTAATAATCACAAAATTGTAAGGTTAGAGCGAGATCTGTCAATTGACTAATCAGATTAAACATTTTTATGACCCCAATACTGATTTTCAGCTGGATTTTGTTGTGTGTTTTTTTATTTTTAACTGGGCACGTTGCTGGTAAGGATGGTGGAATTAGGGCAATAACATACATAATTATTAAGCACATGTTGTAAAAGTTGATGAGAACATGTGGGGTACAGCTTCTATGAATGGGGTGGATGATTGCAATGGGTAGTCGAGCTGCAATTTTGGTCTGGATAAATTCCTGCCCCGCTAGACATTCAATGAATGGATCGGTGATTTAGATAACAAGCCTATGCTAGCAACAAAAACTGTAGCTAGTAGTTTAAGTTTAATGTGCCCCTTGATATGGGTTGCCATGGCGGGTCATATGGAAACCGCGTGGCAGTGTAGGTGGCCTGTTCCCGGGTGGTGTAAAATCCCCTTATTGCCCGATTGGCATTTAGCTACACCCTGACCTTGTATTCCCCCTCCTTTTCGGCCTCTTTGCCATCCATAGGTCCCTGGGTGATGGGTACCTGTGAGTCAGTTGACCCCTGTATCAACCCCTGGGCACCATGAACCCATAGTCCTAGGTACCGTCTCTCAGGCTTGCCGGCCTCTTTGTTCCCCTGCATCCATCCACTCTCGAGGTAGGGCGGCAAGTGCATGACTGTCGGGCCTCGGCAGGGAAAAGGCCGGTGGGGATTCAATGCCCAAGTGTCGGAAAAACTTAACCAGATCTGCACCGGTGAGTGGCGTGTGCATCATGAAAAGCAACTAGTTTGAACGGGTGTCCCCATGTGCACCAGATCTTCCGGCTGCACAGCAAATCCGCAACAGGTCTCCACTCTCTTCTCCTCTGCAGGGTTGTTGGGGAAAGGACTTGGTAGAGGGATATAGTAGCCTCGCGGTATGTGAGCTTGTGGTCCCTCCCGTACTTGATAACTGCCTTCTTCGTGGAGAAGTAATGAAAGCGGAGTATGATGTCCCTCGGCACCATCCCTTCGGCCCTGCGGGCCCAGAGTGCTCTGTGAGCGCGGTCTGTTACCCGCTTCTCATCCGGGATGTCCGGTAGTAGATGTTTAAAATAGTGTTCCATCATTTCTTGCAACGGCCCCTCGTTAGGTGTTTCGGGCAGGCCCCTGATCCATACGTTATTACGCCGGGAACGGTTAGCGAGGTCTTCCACCATCATCTCCAAATCAGTGAGCTGTTGGTGCATGGAGTTGAAATGCGTGACAACGTCGTTTTGAGCTCTGACCACAGACTCCACCCTGCTCTCCAGTGCTGCTGTGCGTGCTCCCAGGGCCTGGATTTCGGTCTTAACCTCCAGAGTGCTTTGTGTAATTTCTGCAGCTAGGTAATTCCAGACCTCCAGCAGTTTAATGAGAAAGGGCGAGTTGTCACCTGTTTGGTGTTTGTGGTAGTCGCTACCCGCTGTGGATATCAGTGAGACGGAGCCACGAGGGCTGGGCTCAATTTAAAAAACTCTCTCAACACCATAAAACTTTACCTGACTGGAATACCATATCTTAAGTGCCTATTATAGTACCAAACAATTCATGTCCTCTTACCCTGTGAAGAATATTCTGAGTTATACAACATCTAGATAACCCCATGACAGCAAAGACAACCCATAGACGGTCCTAAATTCCGGGCACTATCCCACTTGCTCAAACAGGACCACATACAGAGATAAATTACTATCCCACAGACAATAAATGGTGCCTGGTGAAAATACTAGACCGTTACGTGTCATCACTCATTGGCCTAAACCCGAATATATCAATATTTACACTGCAGGGCAAACCACTCACTACAGCCAAATTCATAACGTACATCAGAACCCTCTTAACTAGGCTTGGACTCAACTTCAAAGCCTTTACGGGACACTCATTCAGAATAGGGGCAGCCTCAGCTGCTTCTAGACAAAATGTCCCTGCTCACATCATTAAAAGATTAGGACACTGGAAATCTGCAGTGTATTCTAGATACATACCACAACCAGAGCTAAAGTTGAGACAAGCCTTTATGAATATTGCAATGTAAAGATATCTAAGAAAGTTATTTTCATTAAATTTTTGCCCTCTTTTATTACAGGCCTACCCGATACGTTGGTTTCGGCACACCACAACCGACTTGCTCATATATCTAAATTGTTATAAGTACGGCTTTAGTCCCCGACTGCAAATTAGAAGACGGAGCCAGGAGTTGTGTGAGTGGTTACCTGGCTATTTAAACCCAGGCCCACTACACCACATGGCTGATGCTGCCGGGTTTATCCCTCCCACCTCTCCCCTTATACTATAGTACTATTACCAGGTGGGCACTCTTTTATTACAGGCCTATCCGATACATCGGTTTCGGCACACCACAACGGACATGTTCATATATCTAACTTGTTATAAGTACGGCTTTAGTCCCAGACAACAAATTATATATATATATATATATATATATATATATATATATATATAAAGTCCTGTTGTCTCCTTGCACACACACTTCAATATTTTCTGCCTGGTGCTTTCAAGCCAATGCCAAAAATATACAAAAATATAGGTAACAGAAGGCAAGCACTCACGGTCTTGTAGTCTCTTTAAAAGGATTTTATTTATTTCATAGGTTAAATCTTGATCTTGATCGACGTTTCAGCCAAACTTGATGGCTTTCATCAGGATCTTAACAACTCAACTTTGAGTTGTTAAGATCCTGATGAAAGCCATCAAGTTTGGCTGAAACGTCGATCAAGATCAAGTTATAACCTATGAAATAAAGAAAATCCTTTTAAAGAGACTACAAGACCGTGAGTGCTTGCCTTCTGTTACCTATATTTTTATATATATATATATATATATATATATATATACACACACAGGGGTCAAGTCCTGGGGAATAAAGTGTGGGAACTCACTCCAATTTTTCTCCCCCCCACAAAAAATAATATACACTTTCGTATATATATATATATATATATATATATATATATATATATATATATATATAAATATGAAACAAGGGGGGGTTGGCTGCACTCACCTGAACATGCATAAATGGGGGTGCTGCTGGGGGCCAAATAATACAAAACACAAGATCCAGCGCACTCACCTATCCACTAAACGGCAACTTCAATGTTGAAAGATTTTATTCGTTTTTTTAAAAACACCTGTCACAGGTGCCTCATCCCAGGGCCCTGTTTAGCCTTGTACTGCAGAGAGCCCCAGATGGAATTTTTTTCCTCAAGTAAGTGGTTAATCTCATAAGAGCAGACATTAGGCTGTTAGTGTAGGACCTGCCAAAGATGGGGTACATTGACGTTGTGGCAGGCTTATGCAATGTATGATCATATAATGTAACTAAACCCCCATTATTTTTGCCTAGATTAGGTGTTTTTAAAAAAACGAATAAAATCTTTCAACATTGAAGTTGCCGTTTTGTGGATAGGTGAGTGCGCTGGATCTTGTGTTTTTTATATATATATATATATATATATATATATACACACATACGCGTGCACACACACACATACATATATATATATATATACACATGCGCACACACACATATATATATATATATATATATATATATATACGCGTGCACACACACACTGACACACATACTCAGACACACACACATACACTCAGACACACACATACACTCAGACACACACACTCACAGACACACACAGACACATACACTCACAAATTATTATTTTTTTATTAAAAAATGTCCACCCAGCCTCCCTACCTGGAGAGCTGGTGTGGACCTGTCCCTGGGGTCTATTGGGGCAGGCGCCTGTCTCCTGGTCAGACGCGGCGAGGGAGCTGTGTTCTCTCTGCTCCCTCTCACCGCGCAGGCTGCCTACTGATGCTGGGAGCCGGAATATGACGTCATATTCCGGCTCCCGGCATCAGCAAACGGCGGGCAGCAAGAAGGAGCAAAGAGAACACAGCTCCCTCGCCGCGTCTGACCAGGAGACAGGCGCCTGCCAGGGGGTCCATTAGGCCACCTCTTGGGTCCCCCCATAACAGGGTGAACACAGGGGGCAACATTTTTTGCTGCCCTCTGAGTGCCTGCAGGAACAGCGGGAATGGCGTTCCTGCTCTAATAAAAGTGCAGGAACGCCATTCCCACGCATTCTTGCAGGACTCTAGCAGTCCTTTTTGGGGGAGGTTCTAAATGCCGGCAGGTGGCATAGAACATTCCTGCCGTCCTTACTACTTACTGGGTCCCAGTTGATCCTACACCGGCAGTCGCGATCCTGGGGTATGCCTGGGAGCTCAGGCAGACCCCCTCTGCCCGATCCGCCCCACCCCCCCCCCCACTCGGCCATGTGATTACGGGATCCTCGCAATCACATGACCGGAATAGCCGGCTTATGCAGTGCCTTTTATTCCATTTGAAGAAGCCACATATGGTGACACACGTTATGGTTATTTTAAATTGTGTATTTATCAATAAAAGTTTTTTTGTCACTCAGTTGTGCCAATCTTCTTTTTATTGTATTTTATATAAACTTTTAAAATGTATTTTACTTTTTCCTGGCATTTTATTGTTGCTGTACTCAAGTAATCCGAGGTGGGGAGCATACCACCAATGCCTTATCTATAGAGTATTGTATCCTCCTCTAGACTTGTGAGTATAATTTTATTTATCTTATATTGTATTTTATCATATTGAGAGCACTATTGGTGCCTTTTTATTCTATTTATTGGAGCATTGAAGAACTAGACTGCACTGACGGACGCACTTTTCCTACATATCCCATAATCGGGGATTATACTGATGTATGCCATCTACACTAGAGCTAGTCATAGCTCTTTTAAAAATGAATGAATTACCATCATTTTAATATATCTCACTTTGGATTTGACTTATTACACTATTGGTTGCCCTTGTATCTCTTTCTTGTCTCCATATAGCCACGAACACTCTGACATATCCTCTCCTGATGAAGAGTCTACCCAAGGATCTCTGATCTTCCCCTGCTGCTCCAGTGACACTTTATTTGGTACTTATACTCAGTTAAATAGGCGCAGCCCTGTCTCTTTTTTGTATTGAACTAACAGGCAGTCCTCCTCATGCCTCTAAAAAAGTTTTTAAAAGTTAGTCAAAGTTATTAAACAGATTTTAAATTAAATAAAAAGTACTTAGATCATATATATATATATATATATATATATTTAGAATGATGTTATAAATACAAACAGGTATAAATGTGTATATATATATATATATATATATATATATATATATATATATATATGTGTATTTGTGGGCAGGGACAATAAGCAGAGTTATGTTAGTGGTGCACAAGTCAGTTGTGGTGTGCCGAAACCGACATTCGGGTAGGCCTGTAAAAAGAGGGCCCACCAATTTAAATAGCTTGATAAAGGGAGTGGTGGGTGGGGTGAACCAGACAGTCTCAGCCCAGAGGGAGGGGTGACCTGTGTATTTATAGCAATATCCCCTCCCACAACTACAGGCTCCGCCTTTCCATTTGTGGTCAGGGATAATAAGCAGAGTTATGTTAGTGGTGCACAAGTCGGTTGTGATGTCCTGAAACTGACATTCGGGTAGGCCTGTAAAAAGAGGGCAAAAAGTTAATAGTTTAACATTTATTTTTTTTAATTCTTTATTTTTTCGTGCATGAGTTAATTTAACAAGCATTCATGTCATGCCCCAACAGCAGCGACATGCATTGAAATTGACAAACTATAACAGTTGTGGCATATGAAATCGATGCACATTTTTGTTTGAGGGTTTTCAAAGGAAACAGATGATAGCCAGTGGTGTGACAACACATCAATTAATAAAAAGACCAGACTATTCCTGCTCACTGTATGAGTGTAGCTTGCGAGATTAAACAATGGTTGTACATATGAAACAGATTTAGAATACGGTGAGTGTAATAACTGACTGACCATTCTAATTATGTATGCCTTAACAAACAGTTGTGTGGCTAGTTATATCAGGAAATCGAATCTAAAGTAGGTCCTCAGCAAACAGAACTTACGAAAAGCAGCCTTCATACAGCGAGGGACATTGACAGATTACTGTTGCAGTAGAAGAGTAGGGGGAACATTTTTCTAAATAGCTGAGTCCACTGGGTAAGACCGTGTTTAAAAAAAAAAAAGTCATACCTCACGTTGCTGCGTGGTCTAGACTGTATTAGTCAGCTATCAACATGCTTAGCATATCTCTGTCAGTAGGTGGGCATTGGGCTGGTGAGTTAACATGGTAGGTAGCTTATTAGGTTAACCACAGAAGCTGACCTCTCGTTATGGCTGCAATAACCTGGTGGAGGGCCGTGTGGGCATGGGAGACAGAGCTAACATTGTCTAGGCAGCTACCTAAATAATAAAGACAAGAAAACAATAGTAAAATATAGGCACACTTCGGCTTGGATCTCAGTTGTGAGGCACAGCAAGTCCCCCTGCCCGGCACAACTGATCTCTTTGGGCTGCGGATCTGGAGAGCGTCCTTAAGAATGGTATGGGTGGTCGACAGATGTCTTTGTTCCGGCAACAGATAGGGAGCTACAATCATGAAGGGTTAGAGAGTCAGCCGATGCCTTTAATGGGCCATTTTAAACAGTCTCTGCCCAGGTGAGCCATGGGGTATGTAGGATGGACCGGACCACTGTGAGTTTCTGTTTCCATTGCTTTTGTCCGTCTCCGTTCTTTGCCTCCTCTTTTTGCAGCATCCAGCCCTGCTCCAGGGGGGTCCGGTGTGTCCTGGCCGTCGCAAGGTCGCCTGTTCAGTCACTTGGGAGCGGGGGGGGGGTGTAACGTCCCCTTGCTGAGTGGCTGCGGCTCTGGTCGCTGTTGCGTTGGCGTTGCCACCATTGTGGGCCTTGTGCTTCGTCGTCTTCTCAGGTGGGTAATGCCGCTCTTGGGTTTTTGCAGGCATGGTGGGGCAGCCTTTGGCGGTGTGGCATGGGAGTCTCTGGGTTCTTGGCCACTCTGTGCTGGCGGCGTCTGCGCCGGTGTTTGCCCGTCATGCGAGTGAGGTGTGTGGGGCAAGCCTTGTTACTCCTCGCAACTGCACTTGTCGGACCCTGGAGAGTGCCTCCTGTTGTGGTCCCCGAATAGGGGGTCTGCATGAGGGCCTCTAGCCGTTCCCAGAGTGCGCTGAAGATGCGGTTATACCGGTGCTCAGTTTCTCTCCTGATGTCGCACTGGGCTGCGGTGAATGAGCCTTCCATATCGCTCTAGTGTAGCTTGGCTGGGGGTTGAGTCGGGGTGGACCGGGATATCCCCCGCCGGTCCATAGGGGGGGAGCGAAGGCTCTGGGTCAGATTTTCGGCTGTGTTTGGCAACGAGAAAGAGTCCGTCTCTCCTGCGCCTGCCATGCTGTTAGGCCTCATCCGTGTGACTGGCACGGACCGGGTTAAATGTCGCTTATCTGGTATCTTTGAGTTTGTCCCAGTTTTCCCTTTCACTTGGTGGCCTTTGCTTAGCTTTTTAGTGTAGTTTCTGTCGCTTTATTCGTATTTTTCCGCTTTGAGTAGCAGGAGCTGCTGAGACTTGCATCCTCTCAGTCCTGTGGTCAGGCCCAGCCCCCAATAGTTTAACACTTTAATACGTGTCTACATTACACCATCAATACATTTTATCAGCATTTGTAACCATACCTAAAAGAGAAAATTGGTTAGTGGGAGATACTCTATAACACAAAAATATTGACAATTAAGGTAAATTGGTGACTTGGGAACCTAACTAGTTGCCAAGTGGCAATGAGAGGCTCTACCTATGATTTGGCCCGTTGGGTATGTTTGCCACTGAGCGTTGTGGCAGGGTGTTGGCCTCTCGATGATGATTAAAGAGATTCAAAATAAGTTGGCTGTGACAAGTGAGGCCCTAACTGCTTTGCCAAGAGGGCGGAGATGCGAAGCAGTAACTATGATTTGGCCCGAGGGGCGAATACCTCCGTAGTTGAGGATGGGAGTTGGCCTCGCAGGACAGCTATATAATGGCACAAGAAGCCGAAAACTACTTATGGCCACTTAGGGTACCCTAACAGCCAGTCCAAGCTAAAGATAAGTTTTGTAGAGCGAGTGGGTATGGTAAGAATGGGGGTAGTATCGTAAAGAGAGTCACTTACGTAGTGACTTAAAAACGTAAATGCAAAAAAATAAATGTGGCAGAATAAGATATACACCTGGCAGATAAATGAAAGCTATGCTAGAAATTGATGGTAAGAATAGGTGAATTGAAAGTGGAGGGCAAAAGAAAAGGTTTACCGAGATCCAAAACCAAAATACAACCAGAAAAAAAGGGAGACCCAAGAACTTAGTGTTCATAATTCAGAACTACGACACCAACACCAATGAAAATGCAACAGTTTGCAGGTAAGGTAGGTAAAGTAAGTGCAAGAAGCCCAGAACCCAAAATACTCTATTAATATCTGTTACCAAACTAACAAAGGAAATTGAACAGTGTGTTAAATGGCTCAGTTGACTATACCCCCAGATATGCAATGGTGGGCATAGAGCATACCTGGTGAGACTTTACTTAATGATCTAGGTCATGAAAGAGTTGGCCAGAATAATTGAACAACAAGACCCCTGTGAAGTATAAGTCAGGAGGTGAGGGTGCAGTTCCCAAATTATCAAGTAAAGGATAACGAACCGCAAGTGGCATAGTGACAGAAAGGTATATTATAAACATAACAGTGCAGACATGTTGAGTAACTGAAAATTAACAGTTTTCATCAAAAGCCCCGACCCGATACCTGTTTGTACCGAATTTAGGCATGAGTTCCCTCTGCACATCCTTCCACTAGAAGGACCTGAAGTGTGTATGAGAAAGAACACCCTGAAAAACCCCAACCATCACATTAATCAAATCCTATAGCATACTGCAGGAAGAATACCAGAACTAGCAAGTGCCTTAAGGTGGAGGTACTAAACCGTTAAAATAGTGACAGACCAAAGAAGCCGAAATAGACGTAACTGCCCAAATGAGGGGCCAGAATTGCCATAGTGCCCGTAGAGGGTCATGTGTAAACGTATGAAGTGAAGGCTTAGTGAGGGCCATGTGTAGAGGTATTGTAGTGGAAGGCAGAGTGCTCAATGTTAGTCCTGAGCTGCTGGATGGAGAAATAGGGCTGTATGAGGGGTATGGATGTATGGAACGAACAAAAGAAGGATAAGCATACCAAGGTGCAGGTGTTGTGAAATGGCCACTAGTGAATACATAGTTTTTTGTTTTTTTTTGGTCCAGTCCATTTGTAAAGGTAGAATTATTAGTTAGGCTAGAAGGATGGCAATATGGCATGCAGTGGAGGCCAACTATAAGGCCCATGCCAAAGGATGACAAGTATACAACCAACACAAATAGATTATATGGTGTCTCAATGTAGTTGACTTGAGACATAATATTGCTAATACTGTGCAAAAACAAAGTTACAGTATGTGAAGTAAGGATACAATGTATAGAATAAGGGATTAACCTACCATGGAGTTTTGCAGGCAGAATAAAGGCTGTATAGGCCTAGCGAATATAAGTGGTGTAATGAAATATTGTAAGAAAGAGTGGTGTATTCATATAACCCCCATGCAGCAAAAGGTACTTATGCATTTCGTACATATTGAACTGCCCACATATAATGGGAATGAAATTAAGGCCGAGTACGGCCATGTGTGAAGGCCTGAAACAAGACCAATATAGCATTTACTCACAACCTTGCTATCTGTAAGCAGTTTCAATCTGAGTTCTATGAAGGATATAATAAACTCGTCTAAATAGATATAGGTGAACCGAAGTGCTTAATGTGAGGTCAAGATAGTGTAACATAAAGGAGTGATTAGAACTACCCCCATGAGAATGGCCAAATGAGGATCTTAAGGATAGATATGTTGCCGATACCATGTAGAATAATGGGGTAGTATGCAAACCCTGTAAGACCGATGTAATGCACATTAAATGCCTAAATGAGGTTTTGAATTAGAACATGGCATGTAGCCCACTGTGGGGCATATGACCACACATTGTAAAGGCCTATTGAAGGCCATGAGTAAGAAATTGCGTAGAATACCAGAAGGTGTCCCAATTTGTGTCCTGAGTTACAGGAGGATTGTGCCGCTGCGTTGGGATTAATGCAGGTGAAGGTAGGATGTGAATCAGAGAATTGTTTTGGAGAAGTTGTATGTAGCCAAGACATGTTGGTGATGAGATGGTAGAGAACCTGATAGAGTTACTAATAATCATCTAGTTTATGAAATGGTGAAACTGAATAGAACTTGAATGTAAACACTTATAAAGCATCATATAATACGTACCAACAGAGCCAAATAAAACAGGGTGTTGGCAGACAGAATTAAACTGGAACAGAGGCCTCTGGAATGCCACAGTGGCTGAACAGGTTAGCGGCCGTGACAGCTATACTTAATCAATAGTAAAAGACAGGAGCTATAAAATATACATTAAAAAAACCTACAAGTGGAAAGCTTAGGAAGATGAAAAATACTTATGCATACACATAGGCGTGCGCAGCCTATTGCATTAGGGTGTGCACCCTAAAGCACAAGCACACGCCGCATATATGTATGTATGTATGTGTATATAAATATATATATATATATATACACATACACACACTGCTGTGTGTGTGTGTGTGTGTGCTGTGTGAGGGTGCTGTTAGTGTGATGTGTGTGTGACGGTGCTGGTAGTGTGCTATGTGGGTGAGGGTGCTGTTTGTGTGTGAGGGTACTGGTAGTGTGCTGTCTGTGTGTTTGTTAGGGTCCTGTTTGTGTTTGTGAGGGTACTGTTAGTGTGATGTGTGTAAGGGTGCTGTGTGTGTTTGTGAGGGTGCTGTATGTGTGTGCTGTATGTGTGTTGGTGCTGTGTATGTGTGTGGGTGCTGTGTATGTGTGTAGGTGCTGTGTATGTCTATGGGTGCTGTATGTGTGTGGGTGCTATGTATGTGTGTGGGTACTGTGTATGTGTGTTGGTGCTGTGTATGTCTGTGGGTGCTGTATGTGTGTAGGTGCTCTGTATGTGTGTGGGTGCTGTATGTGTATTGGTGCTGTATGTGTGTTGGTGCTGTGTATGTCTGAGGGTGCTGTATGTCTGTGGGTGCTGTGTATGTGTGTTGGTGCTGTGTATGTCTGTGGGTGCTGTATGTGTGTTGGTGCTGTGTATGTCTGTGGGTGTTGTATGTGTGTGTGTGGGTGCTGTGTGTGTGTAGGTGCTGTGTATGTCTGTGGGTGCTGTGGGTGTGTGTGTGTGTGCTGTATGTGTGTGCTGTATGTGTGTGGGTGATTGTGGGGGTGGAGGTACATTACTTGATATCCCCCCTCCCTTCTTACCTTATGCCTGGGAGGGGGGATCCTTGTTGCTGCTGCTTCCATCCCTGGTGGTCCAGTGGAGAGTGAACTCTAGCCCCTGTGGGCTAGAGTTCACTCTCGCGAGATTTGAGCGTTGCCATGGCAGCATTCATATCTCGCAAGAGGAACCCGGTGGAACTAGTAGCAAGAGCTCCGCCAGTCCCCTCCTGCCTCCCTCCCTGCATGTGGGTCGGTGGGGAGGGAGGCTGAGAGCAGAGCCGGCGCTCCTGAGATCTCCCCTGCTGGTCTCAATATACATAGACGTGCCGCGGTGATTAGGGTGTGCCCAGCCACGCCCGGCACACCCCGTGCGCACGCCTATGTGCATACATAAGGCCTGGAAGATTAGGGTTGAAAGCAACAGCAAATGCTAGAACAATGGTAGTAATATGAACATCAGCTAAAACTTGCTTAAATTTAACATGACTGAATGAGGTTTACATAATGCGTGTAGACCCTACGAATAAGACAGTAAAAGTAATCACAATACCTAAGTCGGCCTGATATGGCCAATATGATTGACATGTGTTAGTGCAACCAATAAACGAGTAACCTAAGGTGGCCAAAATGTTAATAGTGTCTAAAAAATGGATGAGGTTGTACTGTATAAGGAAACCAGCGCGGTCAAATGCGGACTGAATTTTTGGGAAAGTGGAAAATCAATGTGCTTGAGTGGTAGAATGAGGCCATAGCAGACAAATCATAAAATGCAGTAATCTAATTGAAAGTCCCTAGTAGGCAGAGTAGGGCTTAATTGTAGGGCACGTTAAAACATTTGTAAAGTAGGGCTTAAGACTTACATGTAAATTGTTTATGACTGGAGAAAACTAACTCAAAGGGGCACTCCTAATCCCCAAAGCACTTAGTGTGCGATT